TGAACTAGCACCCTGACTGGGAGGAGGGAGTTGGGAGAACGTCTTCACACTCTAGCTGATATCTGAGCTGGTCTTACAGGCTGGAAAGGCTGGGACAGGATAGCATTGCCGGCAGAGGAAACTGGGCAAAGACATGGAGGCTTTGGAGATGTGCATGGTGCATCTTAGACATGTGCGAGCAGTTTTTTTGGGGGGTCATCTGTGTGAAGAATGTGTGTGGGTAGGAGCTGGCAGGAAACAGGTTCAAGAGATAAGTCAAAGGGTGACCGAAGCTTAAACTTTATTCTCTAGGAGAGCATTGGAGGAAGTAGAAATGAGAGTTGGGGAGGAGCCACAAGGGGCAGCTATTAGGGCTTTAAAGCAGAAGAACTTGATCTCTGTTTTATAAAGCTCATGGAAGGGTGAATTTGAGGTGCAATCTGTGAGCTGTAGAGTTCTCTTGGAAGGTGATTGTAATTGCCTGGCAAGGGAGTGAGGGCGTGAACTAGACAGAAGTGGCAGGAAAGAGGGAGGGATTCACCAGAGGCGTCGCAGGAACAATCCGTAGGACTTGCAGGTAATTAGTTGTAGGACTGAGGAAGAAGGAGACATTCAGGCTGCCTGCCCAGCTGTCAGTTTATGTGATTGAAGCATTGATTATACCATTTACTGAGGTAGGAAAAATGGTGGGAGGTGCATGTAGGTCTTCAGAGGAATGGAAATTAGTTCCGTTTTAGAGATGTCAAAAGTGGGAATGGCCATGGGAGTCCTATAGGTAGCTATGCCACCCTGCTTCTGCCCTTACCCACTTGGTAGACTTTCAAATATATGATGATTTCATTTCTGGACTGATTTTGCAGTTGACTTGTCTCTTAAGCTGACTGAGAAAGACTAAGAGAAAGCCCTGAGGTCAAAAGTGACTTGAGATAGATTAAATGACAACCCAAAGTTCTATAGCGAAAAGGAGAAGAGCTGGAATTCAAACCAAGGTGTTTTTTGTTTGTTTGTTTGTTTTAGATAATGGCTTCTCATTGTCCTTATGGTCAAGTTCATATGCCTTAAAATGACTTCTGTGATCTGATCCTGATCTCTGCCTGGCTTTCTGTTCTTACCAGGTGCCAATTTCCCTTCCTTGAACATATCATGATGCCTTCTACCCTGGGACCTTTCTGTTCTTTTTGACTGGGATGTTCTTTTTAGCCTTCCTCTCCCTAATGAACTTGATAATTATCCTCAGACCTCAGGTCTCTTAGATAAGTACCTTTGACCCCTTGGAATAGGCCAGAAACCCCAAAAGGAGTTCTTATAGCAACTTGTATCATGCCTCCCTGGTACTTATCACAGTTTGTAGTTATGCATTTATATCTCTGATAAGTTCATTGATATATGTGTGTCCTCTTCACTTAGCAAATTTCACCATAGAATAGAGTTGGTGTCTGTTATTTTGCCCATCAGCATATCTCCACCACATCACACAGTACCTGGCAAAGAGCAGCTGATCAACACATACTTTTCTAGATGGAAGAATGACTTCAAAATCCATGGTCTTAACCATTCTGTCCAAATATTTTGGAATATTCCATTTATAATAAATACACTTTTTTGTTATAAATAGAAGAACTGTATAATAACAACCACTGATCATATATTATACAAAATGAAGACGCTGATAATTTTTTGACATCTTAGAGCTGTAATACTGAAAATTTGGCCTGAACTAGCCTGTAAAAAATTAGAGGGTAGGGAAACCAAGGCCAGAATAATAAAGAGAGGAGCATTACTTATAACTATAAGAGAATATGAGGAAATTAAATGAAATAGCACATTATAGAATTTTTTGTTGCCATGAAACTTACAAGGTGTTTAAAGGCCCACACATAGCCAAGTGGAGAGAGAACGCATAGCCTCAGAGGGAATTAGGTAGTCCACAGTCCTCTGTTAGCCCTGTGTGTTTCAAGAGGTTGTATTATTATTTAGCGATGGTAAGGCCAACACGTCAGGAGATAACTGGCATTGAAAAGATAGTTCATTATACTCACAGATCCCAAGAGAGTACATGTCTCATCATAGTGGGCCCAGAGGGGGAAGCACGGGGATCCACCACAAGGCAGAGAGGTGGCGGGACCAGGCCAGTGCTTCTATTGTGGCTTCTTTGAGAAGGACCAGGCAAGGCAGGGTAAGCAGGTTTTGGATTGGCCACTTGGAATAATTTCAGCGTTTCGGAAGTAGGGACTGCCTCTAGTCGTCTGGCACTGGATCTTGCAGTGGTTAGGGCAGGTGTAGAGTAGCCCAGACAGAGGGAGCTCAGTAAGGGAAGGGGCTTTGGATTGGTTAGTTTGTATTTCAAAATGAAAAGCTTGTCCCAGGAGGACTCCTCCCCGAGGCGGTGGACAGCAGGTGGCCGAGACACGCTAACTCAGGCGTATTATCAGTTTCTCAGACTAAGGCATGTCCAGCATAAGCATGTAGAACAGATGTCAAAGCATCAAGTTGACAGAAGCTAGGAGCATGGTTAATACACTGTGGCTGATTCACTGAGTGGCCTTTATTAGGTTTGCAATCTGTTCTTCATTCCCAACAGAAATGAGGACAGTACTAACTGGCCGAATTCTCCTCTGAACTGGTGTCCCAAGGCTCCTAACCTGTGTTGGGCCATAGGCCCCTGAGCTCCTATTCACCAATGAATATAGTTCAGGCAGTTGGACTGAGCCTGACCATTGTACACTACCTCCCCCTCCTCTCCCTCCTCCTCGCCCCTTTTGAAAAGGAAGCTCGCATGCTCTGCAGGCAGGTCTCCTCACTGTCTGTGGAATTTCTCACGCTTGTCTCTAATTGGGAAGGTAATTACTGTGGGTAAAACCCCAAAGGTCTGGATTTGAATCCCAGCCCTGCTACTTAGTCTGTAAGACCTTGAACAGGCTACCTCACTTTTCTGTGTCTCATGGTACTTTTATAGTCTGTAATCACCTGATTTATATGTTTATTTTTCGTGTCCCACAAGAGGCTCCTTAAAGTCTGGCGTCTTGCTTGCCTTATTCATTGTTGGGCCTCTGAATCTAGCACAGACAGTACAAAGCAGGCAGTATGCGTTGAGTAAATATTTGCAGCGGAGTGAAGGACAAGTGAACTCAGTAATGGATTTTCCAAGCAGGTGTCCATACGTCACTGTCCAAGAGGCACAGGGCGCTACATGTGACACTCACCTTAGAGCCTTTTCCCAGAACCCATGTTTCATGGCCACGGCTTGAATCAGCACAGACACATTCCATCTTGTATTTTCATCATTTCTTTTAGCATTTAAGGCTAAATCTATAACACATAATGGTAATTGATATATTTATAATGTGCCAGAAATTATTAAAAATCAAAGGAAGTAGAATTTCACTATACTGTGCTTTAAGAGCCAAATAAAAGGTACATTTTAGAAACATTTCCATCAATATAAGAAAGACCTTCAGAACTGAGGGGTTGACTTCAGCTTTTGGATTGTTTATTTAACCATTCAGCATATATCTCTAAAAGATAAGGATCTTTTTTTTTAAAAAAAACACACACACCTCAATACCATTACTGTACCTAAAATAAAAAACAAGAATTTTTTAATATTTTCAAATATCTAGTCATGTTAAAATATCCCCTGTTGTCTCATAAATGTCTCTTTTTTATTGATTTGTTTGAATAAGAATTCATACCAGGTCAACATGTTGCATTGAGTAACCTCTTAAATCTCTTTTAATTTTTAATGGTTCCCCCCCCCACCTTGGCCAATTTTTAAAATTAAATAAATCAGATCATTTGTCCTGTAAATTTCTCATATTCTCGATTTTGCTGATTGCATCCCCATGGTGGCATTTAACGAATTTAAATCTATTCCCTGTATTTCCTATAAACTTATACAGCTAGGGGCTTGATTATATTCAGGTTTGAATTTTTGGTAAAAATACTTCACAGGTATCTCAGTGTACTTCTCATTGCATCGTGTTGGGAAACATATCTGGTTGTCTCTTTTTGTGATACTAAGATTGATCAGTGGGGTTGCCTGCTCTCTCTATTCTAAACTTTCACGTAATGCAGTGGTTCTTAGCCCTGACTACATGTTAGAACATCTGTGGAGTGTTTACACATTTCTGGTGCCCAGCCCCCACTCTCAACAATTAATTGGTCCAGGGTAGATCAGGCTCAGTAAATTTTTTAGAGTCCTAGGTGATTTTGATGTACAGACAGGATTCAGAACTACTATCCTGGTCATTTTGGCCTCTATTGAGGATCCTTGCCTAGAAATTCATTATTTCAGAAGGAGTTGATAAATAGTGATACTCTGTCATGCTTTCTTCACATATTACCAGAAATTCATCTATAAAAGCTTTCATTAAGTCTTTGGTTCTTTAGTTTTTATAGAAAAGGTTGGATAAATATTGGGTTCTTAACAGTTTTCTGAATAATGATTTGAGTATCCAACATTCTACAAAGGTGACCAGTGAGTTTTGTTTAAGTGTGATTATGAATTTACACATTTTTAGCATATTTGATGTTTCAAACTATTGTGTTGATTATTGTTATTATTGCTGTTATTTTGATGCTCAAATTGCTTGAAATTTAGCCAGTGGAAGCTCTTCCAAGTTAGCTCCTTGGACTTTTATTTTTTGATAACATCAATAGTATTTGATTGCTTCCTTGCTTTTACATTTGACCTATTTTAGGCTTATCTTGTGCATTTCATAATTTAATTGTCCTGTGGCCTCTTCATCTTGTGCAATTCCCCTTCTGGACCTGGAATCGGTCATTAAATAGTTTAGCTATGTGTGTCCTATTTGGTGACTTTCTATTTAGTGGCTATGTCGTGATTACAAAATGGAATGGCAGATATATAAAGTAACAGTAAATCTCAACAGGAAATTAGGAAAAAGCATAATGGTTATGTAAGGCAATATCCTTATTTTTTTATCTTTATTTTTTTACTGTTAATCTGGCAGAGAATGTTGCATGAATCCTTCATAACCTTTGTATTTTTTTCTTTCCAGTTAATGTCCATCAGCGTGTTGGCAGTTTCTGCTTGGATGAGGGACTACCTGAATAATGTTCTGACTTTAACTGCAGAAACAAGGTAGGCTTTACAAGTAATGACTGATGTCTTTGATAAGGTTTCCTCAGGCGCTAGTTTCTAGGGAACTTTGCCCTCAGCTGTTTAGAGGGTATTGCTCCTAAGTTCATTTGGGAAGTTTTCCCTGCCCGTGGCAACCGTTGTTACTGCTGTCTGCATTTTTCTAGCATTCTCATTAAGGTCCTAAGAGATCATTCCTGTCTTCCTGACAGTGTGTCAGCTCTGTCATATTTGCATATAAAGGACAGCAGAGCTACTTTTTTTTCTACAAAAATCATCCCCAAACTTGTTGCCTTCGTATTCCTGAGCTCAGGAAATCCAAACCCACTCAATGCCATTTCTTCTCAAATTTCAAAGGTTGGTCCACTAACCTCACTAGGAGCAACTTACTCAACTTCTCCTAGCCGCAAAAATTTATTTTTCATCTCTGAATGGGGAATGTAATATATTCCACTCTGAAATGTCCTGAGGATTCACTGAGATATATTTTTGTAAAGTCCTTAACACAATGGAGTGTTGTTAGGGTAACTTTTGTTATTCCCATTATTCTTCCTATTATGGCTGTAGTCAATGATTTTTTTTTAAAAAATATATTTTTTATTGATTTTTTACAGAGAGGAAGGGAGAGAGATAGAGAGTTAGAAACATCGATGAGAGAGAAACATCGATCAGCTGCCTCCTGCAAATCTCCCACTGGGGATGTGCCCGCAACCCAGGTACATGCCCTTGACCGGAATCGAACCCGGGACCCCTCAGTCCGCAGGCCGACGCTCTATCCACTGAGCCAAGCCGGTTTCAGCTGTAGTCAATGATTTTTTTTCTTAAGTTTTTAGCAAAAATCATCTCTCCCCCTTTCTTTTTCTTTTAAATGGAGCCCCAGATCCGTGAGGAGGAGGGAGGAGACTCCTCAGCTGGGAAAGAGCGAAGGGTACAGTGTGGTCCCCCAGGCTGAGGCTTCAGAGCTAACAATGGATGGACTTCTTGTTAAGGATCTCTAGCTCATCATATGTTTTAAATGAGTTGAAGTTGGAATGTACCACTTGTATAAAAAAACTAAAACAAAACAAAGCAAAAATAAAACAAGCAAGCACATTGCTGAGATAGCACAGTGATTTTGAAAATAGCAATGCAGCTGTTGTCTCTGCGCATGATGATTTAAAGGTTGTTAAGGCAAATCACAGTTGGGTCTTGTACCATGTCTTGGGTGCCTTTTGATTACATTTTCTTTGTAATGTGACACAGGATTGTTCTTTTTCAGGGTAGAGGAGGCCGTCATCTTGACTTACTTTCCCGTGGTTCATCCGGTCATGATTGCCGTTTGCTGTTTCCTTATCATTGTGGGGATGCTAGGATACTGCGGAACAGTGAAGAGAAATCTGTTGCTTCTGGCCTGGGTATGGTGTTTCTATCTTCTCTTTATTGTGGTTAAAAAGACCAACCAGTAGCGGACTATTTTTTCACCAGTGCCCCAGACTCTGTGCTTAGGGAACTGTGACAGCAGTGCTCTTCCCCGGGGTAATTGTTCCACAGCCTGTGCGGAGGGAAGCTTTTTCCAGGAGAGATGACTTGAACCCAAGTCTTGGCTTTACTCAAACGATGCGGAATGGAAATATGTGCTCTACTTAATTGTTTCACTCAGGCTATGTGCCGACCTCTTCATTCAAAAGTGTGAGTTTTCTCTAGAGTCGTGGACCTTATGACCACTCTGACAGGTCCCTGAGACGTCATAATGGAACTCACTTTCTTTCTCTCTTCTTTTTAAAACCGATCTGCCATATAAGCTCCTGTGGAAGTTCAGGTGGTCAGGTAGCGGACGGACATTACCGTCCTGGCCCTGCCTTTACATGAGTTAGCACAGGTAAGTGAGTCTCAGTGTCTATGATCTTAGTGGTTTTTTATTTTTAAATCTGAAAGTCTTATCTAGATTATTTCTTTAAGTCCCTTCAGCACTCAAATTCTATGATCCCAAAATTTGTGCTTAAACTTTTAATGAAAAAATTAGCAAACTCTCTTTTAACATTAAAAATCTGAGTCAGTTAGAAGTACAGCTTGTATAAAGATTAAATAAATTTTTTTTGCTAATCCTCACTCAAAGATACTTTTCCCCTTTGCTTTTGAGACAGAGTGGAAGGGAGGGAGGGATGGCGATAGGGAGAGGAAGAGGGAGAGAGAGAGATACATTGATGTGAGAGAGACACATCGACAGGTTGCCTCCCACATGTGCCCTTGACTGGAAATCGAACCCGAGATTCTTCGGTGCATGGGCCAACACTCTAACCACTGAACACACCGGCCAGGGCTGTAAAGATTTTTTGAAGTGCACTGAGTGTATAAAATATTACATGTTAGTGGCACCAGGTATTGCGGCTGCTAATATAATTGCAGACATATCAGATGCCCCTCAGAATTAATTCATTGAGTATATTCATTTCTGTGCATAGTTTTCAAGGCTAGTTATGCATTAATTCCTTGTAGGGAACATAATAAATTCCTGTGTGCTGATATGCTGGATGTCTGGGCAGAAAAAAAGGCCCTGATTTGTAGCGTTTGCGGGTTTCTGTGAGGTAAATACTCCCAGCATGGTGGACTTTAGGTTACCAACATGGTATCACTGAACGCAGAACTGGGGAGAGATGAGTGCAAATTGGCCCTGAGGAGTCAGCTTGGCACACCAGTGCTTGATTGGCTCCCTCCCAAGCCCATTAAGCAGAACCTTAGTGAGAAGCTGCACGAAGCCTTTGAGTTTCCCAGGGACAACCTGTGCTAACGTATTCCTTGGCTTCTCGGAGGATACCTCTCAGGCCCATGGTTAGAAGACAGAATATGCCGCAGACAGTACAGCACACCCAGAGAAGGGGAGCGTGCCCGGGGCCTCACTTTTCTCCACAGTGCTGAGAAGCATGGGGAAGGCTTTGGAACCTTATTTTGCCATTTAAGATATTTGGACAGTAATTTAAACATAAACGAAAGGACTTACTTTAAATGAAACTGATAGTTTAAAGCATGGGTGAAGTATTTTAAACTGAAAATATTCAGAATCCTTATTTGTTTATTTGTTTGTTTGTTAATCTTCACCTAAAGATATTTTTCAATTGTTTTTTTTGTTTGTTTTTTGTTTTTTTTTTGTTTGTTTTTTTTTACTGAGGGAGGAGGGAGTGAGGGAGTGAGAGAGGGAGAGAGAGCGGGGAGAGAGAGATGTAAACATCAATGTGAGAGACACATTAATTGGTTGCCTCCCAACTCAGCCCAGGGATCCGAACCTGCAACCCTTCAGTGCGTGGCCTGACACTCTAACCACTGAGCAACACTGGCCAGGGCTCCGAATCCTTTTTAAACCCATACTCTCACAATGATGATTTATTTACACCAATTTAAGTGTGACCGCTATTCTCCCCTTCCCCCAGCTCGTATGACTGGATGGTCCCTGGACAGTGGGCTGGGGTGGGTGGCATAGCATATTTCATGAGCCTAAAGGCTTTAGGAACACATTTCAAAACCACTATGCATCACATTAGTCTACTCAAATGCTAGTAAGTCAAGTGGACAAGAAGATTGTAATTTGGTCTCTACTTGAGGCAGGATGAGTCATCAAGACTTGTGCCCGAGAGGCTAGTGTGTGAGGCTGGAAAGAGCCTTACGATGCAAAGGTGACGTGTTGACTGAGGTTCTAAGGGCCATTAACTTGTTCATTTATTCATTCTTCAAATATTTATTGAGAATATAGGCACTGCTAATCTCTGCCAGCACATATGATGGACAAACAGTCCCACTATTCAATGGTAAGATCTTGAATAGGGTTTTCACCAGGTGCTCTGAGGTGGAGTGGAGGACCTCCAAGCTCAGCCTCAAGGGCTCAGCACCTGCTCCAGGAGGTTGATTGGCCTAAATTGATATGCTCTATCCCACTCTCTTTACTTGGCTCACTCCTTTTCAGTGTAGCTTTTGGTGCATTGCTGTCCAGTGTGTGCATGTTGGATGCACCCTTCCATGGACTGCCTGGGGGCATTTCATTCCCATTCGGCTGCTTCTCTTGTCAAAGCTGGTTTCCAGGCCTTAGTTTGTCTAGACCCAACACAGCTTTTCCCTCGCTAAGGAACGATCGGTGATCTCAATTCCCAGTTACCTGCCACCCAAAACCAATCTGCCTCTGATCTGCTGCTCAGGTATTCTTCCCTGGTTTCCTCTCCAGAGCCTCCTCCTCTGAGCACTTGCCAAGTCCTGTAAGTTCTGGATCTACCACTCAGGAACCTGCCTCCTCTTCTCTACTCTTGTTCGTAATGCCCAGATTCAGGCTCTCCTGACTTCTACTGACACAGTGCAGAGCCCCTAATGGAACTCCTGCCTCTGTTTCCTTCTGACTTACCCCAGACTAATGCCACCAGGTTAATATAATGCAACAGTAGTCGTGTTACCCCTCCGTTCTGAAACCTTGAGGGAGTCCCGGTTGGGTAATGAAGTATTTAGTGATGCGTGAGTCTTGCCTCAGTTTCTTCTGTAATCCAGTCTTTGTCCTCCGTTTTTAGCTTGCTTACCTACTTTATTATTCTCTGGTCAAACTGTATCTTCTGAGCCTTGAACAAACTTTGTGCTCCATTCTTCCCTGCTGTTATTCTTGCTGTCCCCTTAGCTGGGAATTTCTTCTTAATACTTTTGTTTTAATACTTCCAGTCCATTCAGACTTGTCTAACATACTATCTCCAGCAATCATAATAATGACAAAGATGATGGTGATAATTAAAGTAGTGAACATTTCTCAGGTGCTTACAGATGCTGCAGAGGTTTACCTGAATGTTGTATATGAAGAATTTTACATGAATTAATCAGTGTTGTCCTCTCCAAAATTCTAATGAGATAGACACTATTTTTATTACCATACTATAGATAAGGAAATGAGGCACAGATTGGTAAAGTGATTTGCCTAAGTTTGCATAGCTAGGAAATGGAGAACCTGGTATGCAGACATGGCAATCCAGTTCCAACAACATATTTGTACAATATCACTCTTTGATTCTATAATTGCTCTCTTTTCCTACGTGCTTATAAACATATCTGACAGTGTATAAAACATTTTCCCGATGATCTTTCATTTTAAACCTGACAATAATAATCTAATAAAGATAATTATAAATGAGATTCAGAGAAGTTCCAAGGTCACTCAGCAATAATGGTAGAGTTTTGATTCAGGCGTTAGTGTTTCTGACTCCCAAGCCCATTCTCATTGGGCCTTTACTGATGTCTCTAATAGATGCTCCTCAACCTTTGTGGTCCAGTGCATTTCCCTTTTTATAAATTTCATTTTTTTATGACCAGATCAAACTCCCAGACTACAAACAACTTGATAATACAAAACATTCACCTTGCCTATTGCTTTTTAAAAAATATATTTTTATTGATTTCAGAGAGGAAGGGAGAGGGAGAGAGAGATAGAAACATCAGTGATGAGAAACATTGATCAGCTGCCTCCTGCATGCCCCCTACTGGGGATCGAGCTCACAACCTGGGCATGTGCCCTTGACCGGAATCCAACCTGGGATCCTTTAGTCTAAGGGCTAACACTCTATCCACTGAGCTAAACCAGCTAGGGCTTGCCTATTGCTTTAATAAGTGTTCACTAAATTGAATAATGGACAAAATTAGAACAGTGGGAGTAGGAGTGACTACACATCAGGTGGGGGATGGTGCCTGGAAGGCAGTGAGGAGAGTGAGATTTTAAAGGAGGAGCCTGGCGGCTAGGTAGGGTTAGACCACGAAGGGAATGGCTTGTTAAGGGAGTGCAACAAAAATATGACATGATATCTTTGGCAAATATTTGCAAGGCAGCTCTCATGGTTTCTTCCTTTGTGCCCTTTAGCTTTTCATCTTAAGTTAGAAAAAATTAAGGAAGATCCTTATTTTTATTTATTTTTCAAATTAAAGAAAAAGTTTCTTTAGAAAGCCATAGAGGTAGAAGAAGTGAGCTGTGGAAGAAGTGAGCCAGCTGAGCTGCATGGGCTCAGGGAACAAGTTACAGAGGAAAAAGAAGGGATCTTGGAGCTTAGGAGAAAGGCAAGGAAGATGGACTTGAGGGGAAGGTAGTGGGGAAAGGCATGGGTTTATTCCATAGAGCAGTGGTTCTCAACCTGTGGGTCACGACCCCTTTGGGGGTCGAATGACCCTTTCACAGGGGTCTCCTAAGACCATCGGGAAACACATATTTGTAATTAGAAATAAATATTTCACAATATATAATTACATATTGTTTTTTGTGATTAATTACTATGCTTTAATTATGTTCAATTTGTAACAATGAAAATACATCCTGCATATCAGATATTTACATTACGATTCATAACAGTAGCAAAATTACAATTATGAAGTAGCAACGAAAATAATTTTATGGTTGGGGGTCACCACA